AAAATATTCTGTGAAATACTATCTTTGATAGGACGTCATGAAATTAAAAACTCTTTTAAAGTTAGTATTAATTGATACATATTCTGATAGAATTTTTCCCTATAATTATTTCTTTTCATAATATACAAAAATGATTAAAACTGGAAAGTAATATTTTATAATTTATCTTACAACTATTTAACTTTCATATGCCTAATCCAAAATTACTTTTTGATTAGAATAATCAAACAAATCATAGATTTTAAAATTATACCCTTATTTTTTTTAATTAGATAATAATGTGTATGAATTAATGTGTTATTTTTATGATATAAATTTCAATAAAAAAAATCTTTAATAAATTATTACTAGAAAAGTAAAACCAAAAACAACTTTCTTTCATTTGACTTTTATTATAAATTGAAGCTTTTTAATAATTCTAAAGGATTTTCAACCAAGAGATATTACAATATTACTCTGAGCAAATCATCATCTAAATTATAATGACGTATTGACTCTTACTGTTTTTTTATTAAATATTAATATTATCCATTTCTCTTCTGTACTGACTATAAAAAATTGATAATATCAGTATTACTCCTTCTATGATTTAAATTGAGGGTCGAATCTTTTTAATATTTGGTGTGTTGTAATTTATCGTTTTATATATTTTTGAAATAGTACCTAATTTTCTTTTTGAAATGTCAAAATTTGCTTCATTTAATTCATCATTTTCTGATAAAATAATAATCAATAGTAATGCTTTTTATTTAATCATTGACCAAAATCCTATCAAAATAATTAAATAATTATTTAATTTCTTTGTGTGTGATGAAAAATTTATTTACATTAAAAAATGATTAAAAAGAACTTAACTTAAAACAAGTGTTTTATGAAACATTTATTGATATACATTTACTTATTGACTTTTGTTAGTGCTAAAAACACATGTATTAACGATAAATGTAAAGAGGCTAATCTCGTTGTTAATGAACAGAATCTTGAAAAGGAATCAGATGAGTACTGGGAAGACATTATTGAAATATTAAAAGGTATATTAGGAGATAACTATGTATATATTATGAGTGATGGAGATAGCCCAAAAGAAGTTTTTGAAAAATTTGTTCAATTTATAAATAACAACTGGATAACAAGACAAATAAAAAGAGTTTTTGAGACATCTATAGAGTTTAAAGGGTTATTAACTGATTTTTACAATGCATGTCAAACAGGAATAAAAATGTCAAAAGAAGCTGATAAAGATAAAATGAAGTC